ATAACATAACTCACAACGGAGTCGAAAACGACATGACTCTCTATTGGAGCCGAAAACGACATGACTCTCTACCGGAGCAAAAAACGACATGACTCTCTATCGGAACCGAACTCTCTACTATAGTCGAAAACGACATGACTCTCTACTGGAGCAAAAAGTGACGAGAGTACTCTCCACAAAGTCGGAAATAATGAGACTCTAATTGCAATAAAAAACATAGTTCTTGAGAAATGCAGCAAATGGATTATAAAATCGCAGACAAATACGTAGACATGACTTCAAATGTAAACAAAATCAGGACTCAAATGCATATTCATTTTATCCCATTGTTATGTCACATTAAATTTGTTATATTAATAATACATATCCACATAATAAAATTATGCTAGAATTCTAACCAATTAAAACAAACTAATATATTGAATGATAATATAATAAAATTTATAAAATTAAAAATATTAATATATAAAAATAGTATTATGCTATATTTATTGTATATCATTAATTATAGTATATAATATATAATGGTAATGGAAATGAAGATAACGAGAATGAAAGATAAAAAAAAAAATGAATAATTTAATGTATTTTCTTAACTATATTATGTTTTTGTAATTTTATTTAATTATTTGAATATTTTTTATCTACAAATGTGTTTCATATAAATTTATATAAATTATAAATCAATAAATAATTATTTCATAATCCTATGAAATCTATATAAATACATAAAAAAATCCAATCAATTTTATAAGAATCCTTCCGATAAAAAAATAAATAAATAAAATAAAATAAAATAAATTCTCAAATGAATATAACCCCTTTAATCAAAGGATCAAAGTGTCTAAAAAATTTAATTATAATTTAATTATCATTTTCTAAATGATAAGTGGAGGACAATGAAACAAATTTTGTCAGGACCAAATGCTGAATTTGAATTTTAGTAAGAAGTGATAAATAATGAAATTGATTCGATCATAAAAAATTGTACTTGGTCTTTAACCTATCTCCAAAGGGTTGTAAACCGTAGGATGGATCCTAAAATAAAGATGTAAGATTAATGATTTGGTCAAAAATTTTAAAGACCCAACCAATTACATATCTTTTCGTGTCTAGGATCAACTTAATTAGGGTGTCTCTCACGATTGTTGGTTTGCGCAATCCAAATGTATTCTTGAATGGTGACTGATAGTTAGAAATCACATGCGTTAAATGTTAATTTTATATGAAATATTCGATTGATTTTGATTGGATTCTGCCTAATTTTGGTGCTTATTATTTATTTCTGACATGCAAGAGAGAAGAAAAAAAAAATTGGTGTGATTTGAAAGAAAAAAAAAATAGGCGTGATTTTAAAGAATACACGCAGACCACAGCGAGAAGCAGATACGCACAGAAGCAGGATACTGACAGACTCATAGATCGCGCATGAGCAAATCGACAAAGAAGATTTCCCCTCCTGCTATGACTTTATCTTTCTATATTGTTCTTTGTTATTTGATTATAAAGTAGATATTTTTCTGGTTTGAGGGATGATAATGTTTTGGTTCTTGTGTTTTGAAGATTCTTGGTTTTCTTTATAGAAGTTCTTTTTATTATCAATATTTGTTCAATCCTGAAAATAATGATTGTGATTGTTAGATTGATTGGATATTTTGGTACCAATATTTAAATTAGTCTGATAATCAAAAGTCAATTCAGGTAGGATATCCGTAATTGTATTTGCACTTGAATAGGTGACAACCGGGTTGAATAGTTCATTCATGGGGGTTAGACAATCAAATCTAATTGCCCATCTTAGGTTGTAATTATTTTGAATTGGGTTTTTCTAAATTAGAATGCGATTAGGCAATATTTCTTATGGGCGCACCTAGGTTTATTAGTTTAATTATGGGTAGTTAACGGTCATATCTTAATTACCTACACTGTAAGAAAATATTGGTTGTCAAAGCTTGTTGATAATTATAACCAATTTATTGATACTTTAATAAAAACTAACTTTACTGAATCAATGATAAAATACAAGTTTCATGACTGCATCACCCCCTTGGGCCAGACATCCCTTAGATAGCTAGTTTCCCGTTGATATAATTGCTTTGTTATTTTGTCTTCATTAGATAATAAAAGAAAATTCCCACATTTTATTTACTGCATTAGAACGCGAAAGAGTGAATCACACAATCCCTGTGGAGATGATCCCTTTTCCTGTATTACATTAAATTGTGATCACGGAATATGCGAATTATTTGATTGACCGTGCGACCGGTCAATTTTTGGCGCCGTTCCAGGGATTGACGCTTTGTTTTACTCTTTTGTGTTACTTATTTGCTTTATTTTCATATCCCCCTGTTTATGCCCCGTTCTTCTCATACAAGTGAACTGATATTTAATCTTAAGATCGAGAAGGTCGAGCGAAAACTGTGAAAGGAAGCCAAACAACGAAAAGCTGCTCAAGTTTCAAAGCTGGCTGATTCTTTAAACCACTTCAGAATCTCTACCTCTAGCGACTCTGAAAGTGACCAAGAAACTGTCAGGGATGAGGATACCCTCACTCCAAGGGAGTTGTATGCTCCTAGCTTGACGCAACAACCCTTATGCATTAACTTTCCAATACCGAATAACACTATTGCTTTTGAACTGAAATCTGGCTTAATTCATTTACTGCCTTTTTTTCATGGACTTGCAGGCAAGAACCTCATAAACTTTTGCAAGAGTTCGACGTGGTGTGCTCTAACATAAAACCACGGGGTGTTACTGACGAACAGATCAAACTCAGAGCTTTCCCATTCTCACTAAAAGATGTTGCAAAGGATTGGCTCTACTATCTCCCACTTGGAAGCATCGACACGTGGAACAACTTGAAAAAGAAATTTTTGGAGAAGTACTTTCCAGCTCCGATTCTGAGGAAGAAAATATGTGGCATCAAGCAACAATCAGGTGAAATGCTCTATGAATATTGGGAGCGATTTAATAAACTTATCATTAAATATCCAAAACATCAAATTCCTCCACAATTATTGCTTCAATATTTCTATGATGGTTTATCATTGATGGACAGGAACATCATTGACGCTGCAAGTGGTAAAGCTCTAGTGAATAAGAAGCAAGCACAAGCCTGGGATTTTATTGCTCGGATGGCTGAGAACACGCTGCAATTTAGTTTTGAGGGATGTTGGATGGACGAGCGGAAACAGTAACGACCATTCTAACAAAAGATGAGATCGACTGTTGACAAATTACAAGGTCAGATCAATCAAGTGTCAGAGGAGGTAAGACGGCGACGTGAAAGAGGAAAGTGGCCCGCTCAGCCTGAGCCAAATCCAATAAATATCAGTGCCATCACTATTTTCAGTGATACGATGATAGAATGTTCTTCCCGACCTAATCCAAAGAATACGAGTGCTATAACACTTCATAGTGGAAGCAAGTGGATGGTCCAACTCCTATCTCGAAGGAGCAAAGCGAAGAGGAAATTGAAAATGAGATTGGAAAGGAAACTGAGATACACGAACAGGTACATCATAATTCCGCTCTTCCTACTAAAACTAAATTGGCTCCTTTCCCTGACAAGTTGAAGAAACCACAAATGGCAAACAAGCAAAAAGAGATGATGAAAATATTCAAGAAGGTTGAACTTAATATCCTGCTTCTGGAAGCTATCCACCAAATCCCCAAGTATGCAAAATATTTGAAAGAACTGTGCACCAACAAGAGAAAATTGCAAGGATATGAGTACATTATAGCGGGTGATGAACGTTTCTTCTGTTCTCAAAAGAAATGTACCACCTAAAACAGGTGATCTAGGTATGTTTTCTATCCCTTGTAAGATTGGAAAAATTGAGATAGGTAAGGCTATGCTAGACTAAGAGCTGCTATTAATGTCATGCTACGAGCAATATACGACTCTTTAAATCTAGGGCCTCTAAAAGAAAAAGGAATTATTATTCAACTTGCTGATCGAACCAATGCTTATCCTGATGGTATGATAGAAGATGTACTAGTTCAAGTGAATGACTTAATTTTTCCTGTTGATTTTTATATTCTAGATATTCATGATACACACTCCTTTAATCCACCAACTCTTTTGTTGGGAAGACCTTTTATGTGCATTGCTGGAGCAAAGATAGATGTTAAAAAGGGCACACTCAACTTGGAGTTTTATGGAGTAGAATTTCATTTCAATATTTTTAATCCCATGAAATGTCCTATTGAATCTGAATCGTTATATGCAATTAATGTTATTAATTCTGTAGTGCAGGAAACTTACAAATTTGGTGACAAGAATAAACGAAACACTGTGTTGACAAAGGAGTTAAAGAAAAGACCAACTGATGAGATGACAACGAGTAAGAGAAAAAAAAAGATTGTCGGAAAGTTGAGATGGATTCCCAAGGGATCACTATTGTTGGCCTAAAAAAACTGCCATAAGGAGAATCAAAATTTTAAGGTGAAGAAAAAGTATGTAGTCAATAGACATCGCTTCAAATCATACCACGAGGCCTCACTTGATCTTATAAAGTTGGCACCCTTTGTTGATTTGATGTTCAGAATTGATGCTAGACGAAGTGTAGCTCAAAGACTATAAAAAAGCTCTTTTTGGGAGACAATCCAAACCATTTAATTAATTTCTTTAATTTTAATCGTTTGTTTTTTTCGTTTATTATTTTAATGCTAATAATACTTTTGATGATTTTGTTTGATTTTGTGCAGGTCTTTTGGAAAATAATTACTGGCTCTTGGCTAGGCGCATCAATTTTCTTAAACCTCCTCCCAAAAAAAATTAAAAATTCAGGCCAAGAGACGACTTTTAATCATGATCATGACTAATTGGTACATCGCATACTATTTTTTTTTCTCCATACCTTTATTATCCATCCAATTTCCAAAATGAGAGAAAGTATTTAGTCATGAGCATGACTACAAACTGCCTATCACAATGCTTGGCTCTTCCCTTCCTTGTCCAATTTTAACCCTAAATCTCAAAAAAAAAAAAAAAAAAAACAAAACAATTTAAAACCCAATCTCTCTCCCCCTCTCTCTCCCCCTGTGTCTCTCTTTCTCTTCTTCTTCTCCCTCCTTCTTTCCCAAGCTTTCGATCTCCAGACGACAATCGCCCTCCACCCTGCCTTCCACCGCGATCTCCCAGCCATCGTCGCGCAGCACAGCTGTGCCGTCTCCCGCCGAACCGGTTCACCCTTGAGGAACCGCCTCGCCCCTGCTTCGCCCTTGCCATCAACCGAACCACCTCCAGCCGCCAGTGTCGCCGTCCCGACCGCCGCCCTTGCTTCTTCCTCAGCTGTCCGCCCGCGCCCAGCATCAGTCCACACCGCGCCGCAGTCCTCCCCGAAAATCCCAGATTTTCACCTCCTTTGGTAGCCATTCCTACATTCTAAAACTTTCAATTTTGGGATAATATGTTGAGATAACGAGATTTATGTTCTGAATTTTCCAATTGGTGAACTCCCGTGACAAGTAACTAGGAATTTGGTGTGAGCTTTGAATTCGATTTTTTTATTAGCAGTGATAGCGTTGTGGCATCTTAGTCCCAATTGATAATCTGAATTTCACATTTAACTCGTTTGGTTGAACTCGTTTGGTTGACTCAAAGGTTGTGTCTGTCCCTGTGATTCTTGGAGTTCTATGTTCTGATTTTGGACGGTTAGATATTGCATTGGCTCGATTATAACTATAGAATGGCTGAAGTTTGGACTCCTATTTGTTAAATTTTGTTTTGGTTTGGTAGGACCGCACATTCTTTGCTATAATTTTTTATTGTTAGGCGTTTTTTTTGGATACTTTGTTGCACTTGGCTACTTTATTGTTGTAGAGAACACATGAGACATTTCTAGCCTTGTCTTAGTGTGGTGCACGACAAAAGCCAAATCCAAAGGAATTGGCAAGTAAAACAAAAGCTCGCAATTACTCCACCCTTTACGGACTCCAGGGAAGTTTCTCTCTTGTTTTACTTCTTTTTACATTGAGGACAATGTATGCATTAGGTGTGGGGAGAGAGTTATGCAAATTTTTGGGCAAATTTTTTCATTTTGTGCTACTTTTATGCCGAATTTGCTATTCTTTCGCATATTTTTTAGATTAGTCTGAAGTGAGTCATCGGTGGTTTGTGTGATAGGTTTGTCTAGCATGACTAATGACATTTGATTGGTGATATGTTGAGTCAAATTGACGTTTGAACCTTGTGAGATTTGAGCCTTTGTTCCAAAAGTTACATTAGAAAATAAACATAATATTCAAACTTTTGGAAATTCTTTCTTGTGAGAAATCTAGTGCTCAATTAGATCACCTAGAACTTGAGTGATTATGCATGTTGAACTTGAAACTATCGAATCTTGCGTTTTGAAAATAATAAGGGCATTAGGTAACATCATTAAGCCTTTCTTTATTACCCAACACAATATATTCCCCTAGTTAGCCCATTTGAGTCTTCTTAGCCTATTTTTTCTTTTATAATAAACTGTCTTTTAGCCTCATACCCTTCTTTTGATTAAACTTTCTCCGATTTGAACCCTATGTTAAAAAGAATTACTTTAAGTCTATGTTGTGATGCACTTTATTTCTTCGGCACTAGTTAGAAACGAAATTTGGGTACGGATAAGTCATGGTATGCAGAAATAATTATAGGCAGTGAAATTTATATAAAGGCAAAAGCCCAAAAAAAAATAAAAAAGATCAAAAAAAATACAAAAAACAAAGAAAAGAAAAAAAAAAAGCAAGCAAAAGAAAAAAAAAAAATAATAAATAATAAAATAATCATCTTGATGAAGTATTTTTATTTAATTTCTTTATTAAAGTTTGGGTAGTGAATGAAGTAAGGATTTCATTGTTTATGCCGATTTGTTCTTCATGTGCTAGCATCATGTTCATTTTTGACATACCATAGCCTTTGTATATCCTTTTTCCTTCCCCTGACCATAAGTCCCGCTACAATCCCTTATTGAAAGTCCATTCGATTCTTTTAGATTCAAATATTCTAAGCAAGGGAGATTTGATTTTTACTCAAGCCCATAGGATAATCTTTTGTTGCACTACCCGAGTGTTGAACCAATTGTATACTTATTCCTTCAGAGAGTATGTGCGTATACACTTTATCTTGTGAGGTTGACTTGGCTTGACGTGTTGAATTTAGGATTGAATTGGTTGTGCTGAATTCTCTTGTCATATTGAATCGCCTGTGATTTCTTTGGCTTATTTCGAATTTATGCTTGAGGGCAAGCATGATCTAGGTGTTGGGAGATTTGATATTTATAAATCGCATACGTTAAATGTTCATGTTATATGTGATATTCGATTGATTTTAATTGGATTCTGCCTAATTTCAGTGCGTATTATTTACTTTCGACATGCAGGAGAGAAAAACAAATTTGGCGTGATTTGAAAGAAAAAGTGAAGAAAATTTCAGATTTGCACCCCCGAGTTAGTTATGGCCATGACTAACTCCACCCTCTTGACATGGAAATTTAATTAAAGGGCCAAAAGTCCAACTGCTAAAATAAAAGTAGGGTAAAATTAAAAGAATACACACAGAGGACGGCGAGAAGAAGATACGAACAGGAGCATGAGACTGACATACTCATAGATCGCATAGGAGCAAATCGACAGAGAAGATTTCCTCTCCCACTATGACTTTATATTTCTCTATTGTTCTTTGTTATTTGATTATGGAATAGATATTTTTCTGAGTTGAGGGATGATAATGTTTTGGTTCTTGTCTTTTGGAGATTCTTGATTTTCTTTATAAAAGTTCTTTTTATTATCAATATTTGTTCAATCCTAAAAATAATGATCGCGATTGTTAGATTGATTGGATATTTTGGTACCAATATTTAAATTAGTCTTATAATCTAAAGTCAATTAAGGTAGAATATCCGTAATTGTATTCACACTTGAATAAGTGACAACCGGGTTGAATAGTTCCTTCTCAGTGGTTAGACAATCAAATCTAATTGTCCCTCTTAGGTAGTAATTGTTTTGAATTTAGTTATTCTAGATTAGAATGCAATTAGACAATATTTCTTATGAGCGCATCTAGGTTTATTAGCTTAATTATGGGTAGTTAACGGTCGTACCTTAATTACCTACACTGTAAGGAAAAATTGGTTGTCAGAACTTGTTGATAACTATAACAAATATATTGATACTTTAATAAGAACTAACTTTATTGAATCAATGATAAAACACAAGTGTCATGACTGCATCATCCTTTGAACCAAACATCTCCTTGATAGCTAGTTCTCTATTGATTTAATTGCTTTGTTATTTTGTCTTCATTAGATAATAAAAGAAAATTGCTCCATTTTATTTACTGCATTAGAATTTGAAAGAATGAATCACACAATCTCTGTGGAGACGATCCCTTCTCTTGTATTACAGCAAATTGTGATCACAGAATAGGTGAATTATTTGATTGACCATGCGACCAACCAATTTTTGGCGCCGTTGCCGGGGATTTGCGCTTTGTGTTACTTATTTGCTTTATTTTCATATACCCCTGTTTATGCCATGTTCTTCTCGTACAGGTGAACTGATATTTAATCTTGAGATCGAGAAGGTCGAGCGAAAGTTGCGAAAGGAAGCCAAACAATGAAAAACTGTTCAAGTTGCAAAGCTGGCCGATCTTTTAAACCACCCCAGAATCTCTAGCTCTAGCTACTCTGAAAGTGACCAAAAACTGTCATGGCTGAGGATACCCTTCTCTAAGGGAGTTGACTGAACTTGACGCATGCATTAACTTTCCACTCTTAATAACACTATTGCTTTGAAATTTGACAAAATGATATTGTCAAATTGTTTTAATTATAATAAATGCGATAAATATGTTTATTAATTTCAAACTTTTAAAAAGTCTTTTAAAAATCTTGCATTCAACAATTTATAAATTTTAAAAGATCGAGATTTTATTGGTTTTTAATGGAAAATTATGTATAAATTGTACAATATAAAGTCTCTCCTAAGTATGAGAGATATCCAAGGATTATTAAAATATTAATTTATAATAATAATAATAATAATAATAATAATATAATATTATTATTATTATTATTATTATTATAATAAGGCTACGTTTGGAATGACTTCTGGTATAAGTTTTTCTAAAATAATATTTTGTATCTGTTTGCATTGACTTATGTCATAAAATATAAACACTTTTGAAACTTTTTATTTAAAATTACTGTTTTATTGTTAGTAATAACAATAATATAATATAAAAGTAATTAATTTATTTATAAATTATATTTTAATGAAATTTTAAGAATATAAGAATATAAAAAAAAATTAATAAAAATAATTATCTTATTATTTTTAATTTATATATTATACTTGAATTAAAATTTGTTTTACAATTTTTTATTTATACATAATTTTTCACTTGTATAACGAAAAAATAAAATAAATTAAAAAAAATATACTCAACAATAAATAAAGATAAAAAATTAAAAAATTCTTAATATCTCACTTAAAACAAACCATGTAAAAAGTAAAATAAAACAAAACTATATTCTCTCTACCGCACTTAAATAGTCCATTTATCTGTTGTTATAATTAAATAGTTCATTTATAAGCTATATGATTTCCAACTAATTATTAATTTACATTTACTCTTAGTTTTATTTATTCGAATATTATTTTGACTTTACTAAAGTCAGTGATATTTCTATCTATCTTTATTTTATTTATTTATTTTTTTTGGCATGTTTTTTGAAATATTGATATTTTGTAAATAAATAATACAATAGAAGGATAATAAGCCTTTTTTACCCTTAAATTCATTTTTTTATAAATTCTTTTTATAATGTGTAAAATACAACAATATTTATATTTAAGTGATAAGGATAATTACAAAAAAAATGAATAAATTGTTTATGGACATAGCAAAGGGACAAAATGAATAGATAAATAAATAATGAACCAATTGAAGCATTTTTTTAAAGGAAATTTAGATTGAATGTATTTAATAGTAATATAAAAGTAATATAAAATATATTTAAATACTGGAAAAATATCACTGACATATCAAATCTTATAACAATAATATTATACCAATAATAATAGTTTATCTGTAATGACACATTGTACATTCTATCTGTTGTCGTAAAAAAATCAGTTCCGGAGGCTTAATCGGAAACCTGCTAGAATTGATTTGTTCAGAGGGTTTTCCGGGCTACTCAAGAAAGGATCCGGACTATCTCGCGATATCCCAAAATAACGTAACAAGAAGGTAAAATTTAGGCTAATAAAACAAGAGGAAAAACTGAAAATTAAACTGGAATTAATGGAAGAAAACGGTAAAAATCTGAAAAAAATTAGAGGAAAAATTATAAAAAAGATGAAAAGTGTCGATGAATGGCATGTGTCCTCTTTTGATCTGCTCCTGATTTTAATATTGTTTGTTATTTTTTGAATTATTTGGATAAAACTTTATCCACTTTTTTTCTTCAAAAACCTTAAATTTACCTTCACCACCTTTTGACCATGTATTTCCATCTCCAATGAGTTGCTTGCATTTTCGGATGGGCTCTCCTAGGGCCAGATGTGCCGCTGGGCCCGCACATTGATTTGGGCCGATGGATCTGTTTAGATGCTGGGCCGTGGACTGAAAATCTTCTTCTTTGGGCTGGATTGATAATGGCCAACTTCATTATTTATTTGGGTTTGTACACTATCAAAAATATATATAAAATACAATAAAGAAATAAAAGTAAAACAGTTGAGTATTAGAACTGATTGTTAGCTCAAAGTCAGAGTTGTCTTTCTTAATTCGAAAACAAACAAGTTCGATGAACTGAATTGAACTGAACAAAAGCTGCCATAATTTCAGAGATGACGACAATAAATTATTAATAATCAACCGACACACAAGCAAAATTTCAGAACTTTAACTGGCTTGAATTTTACACCTCCCAACTTCTTGGTCAATTCCAACTGTCTATTTTTCCATTCCCATCTATTTTCACAGTTCGCCGTTTTATCTCACTGAATTAACACTAGATCAGACCGCCCATTGTTTTGACCTTCAATTTTTCATTTTCTCCCACATTCAAACCCTAATTTATACCGTCGTCAAATTTCCCACAGTTGCTCCACCATCGAGTGTGAGAGAAATCAAAGAACATAAAACAATTTCTTTTTGTGTTTTTGAGTGATTTTGGAATTAATCATGTCGAATTTGGGTGCAGCTTCTCAAGATGAGCAATCCACGCCTGTGGTGAGGCGGAAGAGATCGCACCCAAGCTGAGCTCCACATTAATGTGCACAAAACCCCTAATTTTAAATATAAAAAATTACCCTAATTGTTCACTCAGATTGATAAGACGATCAATAACCAGATCATATAACATAAAAGAATGTATATAAGAAAACAAAATCGTCACAAAAATTAAATATCAACCTATATGTGCTCACATACTAAGTTTTTGGTAAAAATATTATTGTTACGTACGAAATTTAGAATTAGGTTAAAAGCCCAAGGTAAAAAGAAGAATGGGCCTGGCAATAAAGTTGATTGAACTGGCTGAAGGACATCGTGAGAAAATCAAGCGAAATAGGTTTTATTTTTTACGGAAAGTCCTCAGGGCGGAAAGATTTCAGGACGGAAGGACCTCAGGTCGGTAGGTCCTCAAGACGGAAAGACCTCAGGTCGGGAGGTTTTCAGGTCGGGAGGTCCTCAAGAAGGAAGTCATCAGGACGGAAGGACCGCAGGTCGGTAGGTCCTCAAGACGGAAAGACCTCAGGTCGGAAGGTCTTCAGGTCGGGAGGTCCTCAAGACGGAAAGACCTCAGGACGGAAGGTCTTCGGGTCGGGAGGTCCTCAAGACAGAAAGTCATCAGGACGGAAGGACCTCAGGTCGGTAGGTCCTCAAGACGGAAAGACCTCAGGTCGGAAGGTTTTCAGGTCGGGAGGTCCTCAAGACGGAAAGACCTCAGGACGGAAGGTTTTCAGGTCGGGAGGTCCTCAAGACGGAAAGACCTCAGGACGGAAGGTTTTCAGGTCGGGAGGTCCTCAAGATGGAAAGTCATCAGGACGGGAAGTCCGCAGGTCGGGAGGCCCTCAAGACGGGAAATCCGTAGGTCGGGAAGCCTTCAGGACGGGAAGTTCTCAAATCGGAACTCTGCGGCAGGACCAACAAATCGGGTGGTTTGTTAGTCGGGATGTCTGTAGCTACTCTGAATAAGTCAGATGATTTGCAAGTCGGGAGGATTGGTAGTCGGGCCAATGCGGTTGTAGATTGGCAGTCGGGCCAAAAGGGCGGAAGGTCTATAGTCGGCTCAAAGAGTGGATTATAGGGATAATTGTGGTCTGCTGAGGACACGTGTCAGCAGGAGAAGGATTGGAAGACGGTTGGGAAGGAGACGTTGTAACCGTTCGGGCGACGGTTTTCAGCACAGTTTCCCAGAGAATATTTAAAGGTTTGGATAATCATTTGGCAAGGTATCTTCAATCAACTTCAACAAAGCAAAGTCAGATTTGGGGATCACCACTTTAAATTTCAGTCTTTTATTTTCCAGTTTATTTTCTGTACCATACAGTGTTTAGAGATTCCTAATCTCAGGCACTAATTAATCAAGTTTAAGGATATTTTCTATATCTTTGAATTTTACTTTATTTTTGTTGAAAAATTACATCAACAAATTGGCGACCACAGTGGGAGCAAGACAAAATTGCTCATTCCAATTCCGGCGATAATTTCATACGTCTTAGATCCGGCCGAATCATCGGAAGGGTTATGGCAGGTTCACAACCGCAATCATCTTCGGCACCG